TGGAGTTATTCCATAACATTTAGTTTTTATATGTATACCACTGTTCAGAACTGTGCTAGAAAACCATGTGCTGATTAGCATCTTTGAGCTAGGTTCAAAAGTATCTAAAATTACATCTTTGTTTTTTTTTAGGTGTTATCCCATAGAATTGTCATTACCGAAACAGTCACTACCGAAACATGTCATCATTGTTTCGGTAGTGACAAAAGGGAACACATAATCCTCATATTTGGGGGAAATAAACACAATTTTAGTACAGTTATGCATTTTTTTTGTATTTTAGTATGTTTTAGTAGTGTTTTAGTATGTGAGTTAAAATTCTGTAATGTGATGTGGTAGCTACCAAAGCATTACTGTCACTACCGAAAATGTGCAGTCACTACCGAAACATGGGATGTTGTGTCAAATATAAAGTAAACTGAATTATCAACTAAGATGTTATGCTAGTTTTTGGTTCAGTGTATATTCAAACTAATGAATCCTTAACTTGAAATCAGTATTATCAACTTTTTGCCTTTTATAAAGAAAAATTTGATTCAAAATACAACAAATCTCATAAATTGCACTTGAAATATTTTTAAAAATGTAATTATGGATTTACCTCCATAATAATATATTTACAATCTAGACGTAAGCAAAATATTAATAGGTCAATATAACCCTTCTAATTAAATTATTATTATTGTGTTTCGGTAGTGAGAAATTTGCGGAGAAGACAAATATTCCAAAACTTTCTGAAAATACAATATGAGAATTAACTGCACAATTACTAGAAATGTGTACCTTGGATATTATACAATTTGCATACATACAAATGAAAATTTTTGGAAAAAGACAACGGTTTTTTCAATATGTTTCCAACTCTGACTTTGGACCAGTTCTGTAGAATGGCCCATATACAAACCAGTAAATTATAGTGAAATGACCTCACATTATTTCTTATTTCTAAATATAAATAAAATAAAATGTTTCTTTAGGCCAGAGACTTTTTATTCAATGTAAATAGGAATTTAGATTCTTTATGCCTTTTTTATATTTGTGAAAGATATATTTTACATTTAATATTTTTAAAGTTGACCAAAGGCATGTATAATTTATTTATTTCAATGATTTATATCAGGCCTACATTTGTTAAATTATTATGGGATAAGAAAGATTGTTTATTAACTGAGATTGTTAATTGTTTTATAAAAACAATAAAATAAAAGACTCGCAAAATATAAAATATCAGCCAATATATCAGTTATCATTTTCATATAAATACTTCTTTTGTTATTGTGTTGGCCAAAATTTCCTTTTCAGTATTTCCCAGAAAATAACAATGTCCATAGCCAAAAAAAAAAAAAAAATGTCTTGGTGACATCACCTGAATTCCAAAGATTTCTTTGGAATGAAGGTGCAGTGATATTTACAGTCATTCAACAATTTTGTGGGCAAAATCCATTCTTTTCAATAGGAATGCATGCGATCTGGAATTTTGCTTGAGGGTGAATGATTTCCCAGCACAGATTTCGGAGCGAGGTGGTCACAGATTCACCCTGTTGACCAACAGAAAGCTGCTTGATTACAAACGGATTTCATACATCACTACATTATTGACAATTTAAAAATTTACCTTTTTTTGCTCGCATAATTTTACAGAAATTTAGCCACCACACCTGAAACTGCACTATAATTCTTTCACAATAAGACCCGAAGCATATATTAAGAAAGTATATGGGGTCAATTTTGAATTCATGTAGACTTTATCCTAGTTATTAAAAAAAATAAAAATAAAATAAAAAAAAGGTTAGCATCACCCAGAAGAATGTCTTCTGTCAAAAGCTATGATTGTCTGTATGGCCACTGGCATTTACTAGACAATAACCTATTAACAACTTTGACTGCAAATTTATAAGGACACTGTACCCTTTGGTCTTTTCAAGACACCAAAAATTATTCTGCTCTGTTAAATTTTCACAAAACTTGCACACCTTCACATTAACTTTTAACTCTAATTCTCTCTGACCTGCCCAGTTTACCACTTCCCCATGAGTTGTCAGTTTCATAATGCTTCTGTCTGATGCTTTGACAAGCACACAACCAGATAAAACAGGCTGGCCCAGATTTGGCCTGAAAGGAACAACTTGACAGCCAAATGTTGACTGATATTATGTGTGTGTGCTAGTCTAACATACCATGAATACTTCTGAAGGTGTGACGTACACCTGACTATGTCTAAATAAAACTCATGACTAGCTGCTAATTCTGAACCAGCATTTACCCGATCTTAGTAGACACCATATTTAAATATGATGTATGTTCTAGGTCACATTTAAAGTTCTTTGTCTACTGGAGACTTTTTTTCAATGTTCTTTCATCTACACACAACTGAATCAATCCCTCACAGCCTTGTTTTCATTTGTGTAAAATAAAATATGGTGTCTGCACTGTCTGTTCTTTAAAACACCAATGCTACGAAATCCTGTATTTTATTTTTAGTTGCATTTTGTAAAAATTTATTTAAAAATATGGCTCTGAACAATCATTATGAATGATATAAATAGCTTCATTGTTGTTAGCTTCAAAAGGTTAGCGTGACAATCTAGTTTTAAAGTTGCTTCTCCAACTCTGTCATCCATCACTGCGTAAACATTTCACACCAGTTTTTCAGTCGTTTTTTTTCTTTCATTCTCTTTTTCTCTCAAATGCCTGCTTATCTTCTAAGGTTTCCAGTGTAACTGGGGAGGTTCTTCCCATTTAGTGTGCCTCTGCACTATTCTACTCCATTTTATAGTTTGTTAGATATAATTTGTTAGGTGCAATTAGAGTGCTCATACAGTAAAGCGAGGTGTACCCTTATGATGCATTTGGGTACCCTTATGATGCATTTGTTCGAGCTTGACTGCATAGCGGAAAGGGGAGAGAACTTAACTGGAAGCAAATGTGTAATAAAAAAATCGTCAAGCATTCTATATGAAAAAAAAACCTATTCTAAAATGAATACAATGGATTGCAGAATACACTACCATTCAAAAGCTTTTTTTTTTATTATTATTTTTTTTTTATGTTTTTGAATTAAGTCTCTTTTGTTCTTTAAGGCTTCATTTATTTGATAAAAAATGTAGTAAAAACAGGAATATTGTGAAATATTCTTATAATTAAAATAACTGTTTTCAATGGAAGCCATTTCCACCATGGGATAAAAAAATAAAAAAGGTAATTGTTTACTTTTTAATCTGACAATTTGGATTTTTGTCTTTTTTGAGAAAAATGTCAGAATTGCAAGAAATAAACTTTTTGGCTTGCAATTTTGAGCTTGCATCTCACAATTCTGAGTTCATATCTTGCAACTGTGACTTTTTTCTCTGAATTCTAACTTTATATCTCACAATTCTGTTTTTATTTACGCTAATAAAAAAATAAAAAAATAAATAACTGCAACTTTTTTATCTCACAATTCTGACTTTTTTCTCACAACTGCGAGTTCATATCTCACTGCAAGTTAACATCTCACAATTCTGCATGTGTCTTTACAGTCGATGAGTTTAATGGGTCTTTGCTGAAAAAAAATGTTACTGACAAGTGACAACAAACCTCTCAAAGGTAGTATACATTTAGTGTATAGTGCATCATTTGAAACACAGTTAGGCACTTTCCCCCTCTGCTCTTTAAGTGTTGGGATGGTGGTTTCTCTTGGGCAATGAGAAGTGAAATGCTCTGAATCCCTTTATCTTCACTGTGATCATTACTAATTAATTCATTAAGGCTAGGACAATCATGCTGCGGGCTACTGGACTCCTCTAAATGATCTCATCCATTCTGTGTCTCGCTCTCCTCCAGCTAGATGCCCTCTGGGCGTGTGAATTCTCCTGGTATTACTAGTATTTATTATTAAATTCAATCTAAAACGTGATCAGATTTCATAATGCCATTAAAAAATGTTCCCCCTAAAAATGTTATGCATTGGTCTACTGCATAGAGTGACTCTTTTACACAGCTGACTCAGTCCCTCCTGTTTGCAATTTACAGCCCCCTTCCATTCTTATTAATCGTTTTACTACTTGAAGGACTTTTATAGACTTGTACGGGAGTGCTGGCAAGCAATTAAGCAAATGCTGTCTTATGTGGATTTCTGGACTTGTTCATTTTCAGGCTCTCTCTACTCTGTACTTTGCTCATATATAAATTGAAAGAGAAACAGTGCACACAGATATATAATAATTTTTCATGTCATCTGTTTCAATTTTGCTCACCCATAAATGGCATGTAAAAGTGTAAATAGCACAAGTTCTTCTGTTTTTCTTTGTTTTATAACAAATAAAGTTTGGTAAAATAGTAGTATACTGTACTAACCTTGAGGCAAGAGGTGAACCCAAAGACAGAGGAGCCAGACCAAGTGATGTGCAGACTTCTTGTATCGTCCACTCAGGTGCTTGCTGTGCTTGTAAAGCATCCTTCAAAGAAAAACAAAGGAACTCTTTTGTTCAAAAAAAGAAAAGAAAATAGTTTTCATCAATACAATAACAGGGTGTAACTAAGAGAAGGTCATTACTTCTACAATGCTCTTTCAGTATGTCATTCAACATGAAATAAAAATTGACCCTGTTTACATTGTGAATGCACATTTATGGCTTTATACCTGTCCGTGGAGTCTTTTATCAAAATAATAACAATTTACATAGTAACTTAAATCATTTCTTTTTCAGCTGATGTCACAAATCTTTTTTTCAACCCCTCCTCTCCAACTAACTTGTAATGCTTATGTAATACCCACTTTTCACAATTCAATCAATTCCTGATTAATAAAATAAGATTACATGTATATGTTTGCCTAGGTTCTGCATATTCTATATTGCTTTGTTCCATTTCTAGTACCAGTATGTTTGCTTTTTTAATGCCATTGTGTGAATAATTAATTCCACCAAACAAACAAAAAATACCCACGGTAAGTCGCATAATTTGACTCTATCGCTTGAATAGTATGGACAGAAAGACTTATAATAAAAAACAATGCCCATTGTGCTTTTGGTAACAATAAGGAAGTGTACATTTGTATATTTCTTTAAAGGTCAGCCGCAAACAGATATTGATCCTGGTCATTAGAGGTCCATGGTGACTCTCTATAAAAGGGGATAAAAGCCCAACTTGATTTAAAGATGGAAAGGACAGGAAACGTTAAATGTCTACGGATGGTTTACAGCAATAAGACAGACTGAGATGGCTTTGGTACTGAGAGTGATTGAATGGCTATGTGGGGATGTTTGAATAAAACTCTGATGAAATGCTCCTGGTTTACTGTCTGGACAAAAGCAGACAAGCATTACTAACTGTGCGAGAGGCAGTAATTCTGTCTAATGTAAAGTGGCAGTCAACTTACTGCAGTCTCTTTCATCAAATCTGTCTGTCTGTTTATTCATTCAGCCACTCACACAATCTATCTTGCTCTCTTCTTCTACCTTTTCTTTCTCTTTCTATAAAAGACTTAATTTCCAACAGGGTCTAATATATCTGGATATGCATTAGCACTTTGGTTTGTTGCTGCATACAGCCAAGGAATTAATATGCATTTATTCTTAATACATGGCTTTTTTTGAGTGGCTGTCAATAGTAAAACATAATTTTTGCCCACATAACGATGCAGTTATGGCACACACCAACTAAACAGACTGTTTTCTGATTTTGCTAAGCTATTGTGTAAATCTGTTTTGACAATTTGTTGAACATTTTGTAATTATATTCTACTGTATACAGAAATCAGCTCAAAAAGGCAGAGGATAAGAGGATGTACCATGTGATCATTTAGCAAACACTTGCATTCTGTAATTGTGTTAACAGCATCACAACCTGAGCTCAATTATAACACATTTCTCAACATGAAAACAATAATCAGCTCTAATGTTCACACTCCAATTAGAATCTCAGGATGTATAAAAGGCCCACAGGTGAGGTAATTTGCATTGCAACAATGAAACTGAACAACAAAGAGAAGTACAAGCTAAATAGTATAATATCTATCTATCTATCTATCTACATTCTTCTGCTTTTGAATTATTTATACTACAAATGTATCTAGTGTTTGAGAACTTAATTGATATCTATGGGCAAAATCTATGCATTAGGAGCTGTTGGGAAAATTTAATGGTTATCTGTTTTTGCCTCAGGTTTTAAAAAAAAATATTATTTTGTGGCGAGGGATGTTGTAACATATATTTAATTCCATTCATTGCTGTTCACAAGTATCAGGATTCTCAGAGGTGTTGTTATGCTGATTTATGCTGATTTAACTTGCAAACCTTTTTAACTTAGCAGGTGCCTCACAGTCATGGAAAGTCTGGAAATATCAGTCTGTTGTAAAATAGTGATTCCTAGGCCTGGAGAAGTCATGGAAGTTTCTGTGTTGAATATATTTGTAAGGAAATTTGTCTGGTAATGCTTCAGTCAAAATATATTTTTTAGCTTTCTTAGGTACTCATATTCCGTAATGTCATGGAAATGTTTTATTACATTTTAGTGTACTTTATTTGCATAGACACTAAAATTAATTTGTTATAGGCCTACTCATGTATCCCTTTGTTTAGACGAACAAAGGGAAGGCTTGTAGATTTATCAGTATCAATGCTGTAACTTGTTGTCAAGAATTCTAGGAAAAGTATTTTGAAAACCAGAGTACACTTCCTCCATCAAGTGTTATGTTCATGTTGAATTAGAGAGTGGTTACCTACAGGTTTGGTATATATCATTGTTTTATCTTTGGAAATCTAGTCGTAAAAACACATCAGATTGAGAAGGCCGTTGGCCAAAGCAGTCAAATTAATACAGTGTGTTATTGTGGTTTCTGGAATGCAAGCAGGTTGGACAACTTTTAAATGTGCTGTTAATCTCCAGCCATCTATTTCTTTCTTCACAGTCAGTTGATAGAAAAACTGAAGAAAAAAAGAAAAAATATATAATTTTTTTATATAATTGTATTTTATGTATTTTTTTGTAATTTCTTGTCATTCTCGGTGGTATTGAGAGCCAAGATAAATATGCCATCAAATTCCATTCATAGCTAAAAACCAAATAGTCTGTATTTCCGTCACACCTCTCTCATACCAAGAGAACCCATACATTTCCAAAAAAACTATTTGTCTGTCTGTGCAAAACAAAACAGCACTGCTGTTTCACTGTAGACATACTATACCTGAAAGTGTACAATAAGAAATATGAATAAGAACTAAAGAGTTGTCCAATGTCTCATCACCTGACCCAAAGTGACCCACCATCTCTGCACCATTGTGGTTGATAATGAACATTAAGGTAAAAAAACCCATATATATATATATAAATATATAAGGGAAACTGTATATCATAGGTCATGCAACTTTTCACAGTTTTATCACCATTTCCACATTTTTAATTTATTTTCTTGTATTCTCCCAATTAATACGAGCCTATAGAGGCTGCAAAGAACAACATATAAAAATAGCAAAATGTTGTTTAGATGTTGCTTATTTTAGATGGAACACGTCACATCGCTGAACCTGTCAATCAATCTATCACGACGTGATAGCTTTCTATTTTCCTCCTGACTTCACGACTTCGTTTTGTGCTTAAACTTTATAAGCAGCATTTCTGTGTTTTAAAATATCAACAAATACAGTCGTTTTTCTTGTCTGGCTTGTGTAATACAGCTGTCTGGATTTGTTCGTGAAGTCTCACCTGGTGTCGTCGCGCGTGATGCGCCTGAAGTCATCCTAAATTCGCGGCTCTTTCACCGCTCTTAACTCCATCCAAACTGCTCCACGTGAAAAAAATCCTGGTGCTGGTCGACGTGTGCTTCAGTTTTCAACTGTCACGAATTAACAGGTAACTAAAAATAAGAAAGCAACGCAGTTACAAACCATGAAAAAGTTGAAAAGACAGTTCTTGGGGTTGAAAAAATGTTGTGACACTCCCATTATTGTGAGAACTTCGTGTTTGCAATAAGAGAATGGCACGCCTTCCTCTATTCTACACTTGGTGACTTTTCAGTCAGCAATACTGACGTTTTCCTTTGTCGTATACAATTTAGTTATGGTATTATCAATCTCTTCTGGAGTCTGATGACTGATATTGTTGCTGAAGTGTTTGCACTTTATATTATTAAGGCTTAAAATATAATCCTAAGGGGTTGTTTTCTGAGTCCCCTGACAGTATTAATTATAGGGTATGAATGAAATAATGAGATAAAGTGACAAGTACTTGAAAAGCACTCTTACTGTCTTTTATCATGGCTACTTAATGAAAGTGATCTGGTGGCAACTGGTTCTTTCAGGCACAGCGGGGACCAGGATGTGGACTCAGACATTTCCTGGACCCTTGGCAGCCTGTCAGTGGAGGTAAAGCATGCCCATCTGTGCATGCCTTGTGTCGGCCCTTCAGGGTTCTTCTTGCTCTTTCTCAGGGGTCAGACACCCTGGCTGTTTTCAGGATTGCTTATTGAGAGCGGTGCTAACGTCACACAGACAACTCAAATATTCCATGACTTAGCAGGTGCCTTTGCGTAGTATGCCTTTCACCTGACTATGTGAAATGCGTCAGATGTAAAGACAGACAGGTTTTTTTTTTAAGCAGGAGAAAGTTTATGTTCTCCTGCTAGTTCATTAGTCTAAGTGATAGTTCATCCAAAAATAGAAACTTTGTCGTTGTTTTCTGTGTTATGATATTCTTTCAGAGAAATCCAGAAAAGGAGATGTTATGCAGAATGTTCCTGCTGCTCTTTTTCATACAATGAAAGTGAATGTTGACTAGGAGCTGTACAGTTCTAAATTTGAAAGAAAAAAAAAGTATTATCTTAGAAGTAGTCTGTGAGACTTGTGTAATCATCTGAAGCAATATGACAGCTTTATTTGAAGAAAATAACAATTTGTTGTTATGAAATTAGGTTATGAGATCCAATGAGTATGTTAACATGCAGTAAATTTCTTCAGTTGAATGGATCCAATCCAATTGCAGATTCTGAAAGTTCAGTTTATTTTAAATGCACCGTAAACTTTGCAAACATATTCATATTTGTTTATATAGTACATGTGAATTACATGTATGCACATCTTCAAAACTAGATAAAGCCACCGTGAGTATTGTCATTTTGCCTTGATGACATATCCAAAAAGGAAGCTGACATATATGTCAGAAGAGCTTTTAGCAATTATTAATAAATATTTAGTCTCCTCCACTGACCAGTTTGTAAGATGTAAATAAATAAATGCACATTTGTTAGACTTAAAACATATTTACTCACTTGCTGTGCATGTGCAAGGTATTTTTGAATTCAATTAGGCAGATTCAAACATTTACATGCTTAATTTTTTCCTGATTTGATTATTTTAGGTCTACACCACCCCTTCCAATCCGATCTAAATTTAATTCAGACTGAGCTCCATCGGATCGATTGCTATGTTTACATGATGGCTTTTTGGTCTGATTCAGACATCAATACTAACAGATTATTTGGTTGCATGTAAATGAAGATAGTGAGACCAATGTGTTTTTGTATGGCTTTAGACAACTTGAAATATAGTGTGTGAGTTCTATGGTCCCCTTCCATAATGCTTTTGGTCATTTTTGAAGCTTGCCAATGGTCACCATTTAATTTAATTTTATTTAAAAGAGCAGTATGAACAGCATTTTTGTATTCCATGGAAGCAAGTATTACTGTTTTTTCAACAATATGAGGATGAATAAATGATGATACAGCTTTAATTTTGGATGTACTAATCCTTTAAATATTACATATTTATATGTGAATAGGGTGTGATATGGGTTGGTAGAAAAAGGAACTTGAAAATGTAGAAAACATGGTGTTTATGACTTGGTGGGTGAAAGTGACAGAGAAAAATGATGTACGGAGGAGCACAGACCGGTTTAACATCTTTCTCCCCCTCAACTCTCGTTAGCCTCTCTGTAGCAGATCTCTCTCTCTCTCACACACACACAAACAAAGACACCTGTGAAAATGGCCCTCACACTTACAGCAGATCATCTTTTCTATTATGCAGGGTGTGGATCCCTGGGGCCCCTTTATCTCTTTTTCCTCTTTTTTTTTTGTCAAGTTGTGAAATAAGCTTAGTACTCTATGTTGTTGTGTATAAGTTTAAACTGTAAAGCTTGTTTTTATTGATCTATTTTTTATTATTATTTGTTTTCCATCATTTTTTGAGTATTTTTTTACACAGTCAATTAACACCAAATCTTTTAAACACATTTTAAAAATAATCACTACAATAAAATTGACTAGTATTGTAAGAATCCAGAGTCTGAGATCACTAGTGAAAATGCACCTAATTTCATTTTATTTTAGTTTAATAGTATATTTACAATATAATTTAATAAAAAAAAAACATATATATATATATATATGATTTGAGATTAATTGAGAATGTTCCAAAGAATCTCTTGTGGTTTAATGGAAGCAAAGCATTAGCTTTTGTGTGACTTATATACTATTAGTATTTATTGATATTTTGAGTTGGTTTTATTTGTATAAATTTTAGTTTTCATTTTTAAGTTTTTCATTTTGTGTGTTCTAATTTTAGTATTTTTAGTTTATTTCACATTCAGTTCAATTACTGAAAACTATTTTAACAGTTTTAGTTAACAATAACAACTTGAATATTTCTAAGTATATATTTTTATATTTAAACATTTTCAAAAAAACATTTTCAGGTTTAAATTTGGACCTCACTGTAAGTAGGAAATGAGATGTATCATCAACAAAAGTGTGAGTATTGAATAATGTCTTCTTTTATGACTTCCTCCTGATGGAAATGAGCTTTTCAGTAGACTGAGTTTCTATGGTTACAGATCACACCTGAAAAAAATGCTGAATCAAAAAGAGTACTGATGCACTTCTATTTTTTCGCACCTCTGTATATTGAACCACTCTGTGGTTGAGTTTATTTGCACATAACCATTTCTTTTTTTATACATATAACCAGCCTATTAGAATATATGGTGGCTGTTTCTCTTTTCTGATGAATTCTGTAAGCAGTGGTTGTAATTCATCTGAATTGTATTGTGAAAAACTGACATGGACAAAACAGTATTAGGTTACTTTAGTGAGGAGGCACACCCTTGGTGTCTTCTTCTGTAATCTCTGCCTATGATCAGTCTCTGTGGTGCTGATTAGATCCCACCCAGAGCCAACCAGGACTGAGTTTGGGTATGCCACAGCATCTGCGTGACTGCCAGTGGCATTAGACAATGTGTCATGTGAAAGTCAATACTCTTTGTGTAATGTTTGTTTCAAAGAAGGGAAAACTCCCCTATTCTTGTGACTTTTGACGCACACACTCATACTGTCATACTGCTGTTCATATGGCTCTTGTTGCTGTAGTAATGAACTCTTTACTAATGGTAATGACAGCCTTGCAATTTTCACAGCTCTCTACGCTAAAAAAGTCCTCTGAGAATCTGAGCGCTCTCAATGTGTAGAGGCTGTTGGTAATGTCACACTGTGGGAGTCGTTCCCAATTATGTTTCCATACTCGCTGTCCTTGTGTGTTGGTTCCTCTGGTTATACTGTAACACTATTAACCCTCATATATGGCATTGTACTTCATGCTTAATTTCATGCACTTCTTTCAACCAATTAACAATGTCTACAACATTGTCATGTAATGGCACTGCACACTAGATGGCAGCATGCTTCAAAACTGAAAACAGAGTGGAATAGTTTATCCTATTTACTGTTAATGCTTAATTTAATAAGGATTTGTAATAACACAAACAAATGATGCAACATTGCTCTCTTTTTGTTTCACCCTCTTTTATTCTTCTGAAATTCATAGAAACAGATAAAAAACAACAATCATTTCCAGAGGCATATCAGTCAGGTAGAATGCATGAACTCTAGGCTAAATTTGTGTGTGCACGCGTGCGTGTGTGCAAACCAGTGTGGGTGTATAATATATACTTTTTTCCCCTCATTCTTCCCACTGGCTTTGACATCTTCAAAGGTCCTTGTGCCAATACTGCTTCATAGGAATCATATTTGGACTGAATAAATTAGTGGAGGTGTTGTACAAACGAAATGAAAGGATGTAAGCCTGAGTGAATCTCTATGAAAGCAGAGATATGTGAAGGGCTTTGCATTGAATGTTCAAATCCAGCAGTTTTGACAGACAGGGAGGACAAATAAGAGATTGTAAAGAACATGAACTTTTAAGCTTCATTTATAAAACGAAGATCGTTCTAGGTCAATGATATTTCTCTTAAAGGGTACATGCTTTCAAGTACTGTCAAGTACATAGACATAACTGGACCATTTTATCCACATAAAACCAAGCTGATTCCTACAAAATGAAAGCTGTCCAACTAGATAGATAGATAGATAGATAGATAGATTTTTACAGCACTGTTCTGAGGTCAGACAGAGCTGTCTGAGTGCTTCACTGAGATCAGCAACAGCTGAGATCAGTAAAAGCTGCAGTTGGGTTGCTGGTCTAAGATCACGCAGAGATGTTAGAACACTTTAATTAAATTGTTGAGAGAATCTTTCAGAGCACTCAGATTAGTGGGTAAGAGTATTGCATACTGGCTACTTCATTGAGATGAATAAGATCAGCTGTGAAAGGCTCTAGCAACTGTAAATAAATATGGGCTGTGGGGATTTAATTAGCCGTATAGGTGTATATCTTCATGTGTATATCTCATCACGATGCTTGTGGGCTGTGCAGTGATTCAGAAATGCTACTTAGGAGGAGATTGGAGTAGGTGAGGACCATCAGTCAAGTAGTGGGGGAATGATTAAAAAAAAATCCTATTTTACAGCTTCCACATTAAGTGT